CAGCATTAGCAACATGTCAGCAAAGAAACACAAAGAAATGATATCAAAAGATCTTTTAGTGCAAATATTTGAGCGTGTGTATACCTATGATATAGCTCTGTTCACTGGACTGTGTGATGGACAGAAGACTCCCACCCTGTGCTTGACAGGAAGTAAGAGCTTGACTCCAGGTGAGGATGGAGTACAAGTTAAACTGATAACAGGCATTCAGCTCTGGATGGCTCTCCCAGAATTCATTGCAGTCTGACACTGGAGAGAACACACATAGACAGGATCTGTTTGATTCCTTTAGTTAGATAGTATATACTCAATATACAGTACACTACTGTTCAAAAGTTTGAGATGTGTTTTTTTTAATGCTTGTGAACATGTTAATGTGAACATGTTTTTGAATGTTTTTTTTTAAAAACAGTAATATTGTCAAATATTATAAAAATTTAAAACAACTGCTTTCTATGTTAATGTACTTTAAAATGTAATTTATTTCTGTGATGCAAAGCTGAAGTTTCAGCATCATTACTCCAGTCTTCAGTGTCACATGATCCTTCAGAAATCATTCTAATATGCTGATGCTCAAGAAATATTTCTTATTATTATCACTGTTGAAAAGAGTTGTACTGGATTTGTGTGTGTGTGTGTGTGTGTGTGGAAATGGTAATACATTTTTCCAAATTTTTTGATTAATAGAATAGAAAAAAACAGCATTTGTTTAAAATAGAAATCTTCTGTAAATGTCTTTACTGTCACTTTTGATCAACTTCAGCCCTTGCTGAACAGAACTACATAAAATCCACAAACTTTTGAACGGTAGTGTACAGAAAAGTATATTTCAATTACTTAATATGTGGTTTTACCTGGATTAGGGCAGAAGCCCCATTTCTCATCTTGATCATAGCGGTTAGTGGTGGCACACCAGAGGTGACGGTCCTCTCTGCCCTCATATATAAATATTAAAACCTACACTATATTCAGCCAAGGTTACCTATATAATGAAGGTAGATGTTAACTGAAAAGTTGAACTGTTATTTACAAAGGGTTATATGTTCAATTATACTGGGGCAAGTTGTCACATCATTAATTTATCGCTAGGGTGGCCAGACTAATAATTTAACATCTTTATCTGTTGTTTCCTGTCAGTTCTGCAGTTTCATCAGTTGGTCTATGTCATAACTGTTTAACCATTTACATTTAGCTGAGGAGGCAGATTTCATTGTGACAAACATACTCAGTCTGTGTCATGTCTCAAAGGTCAACAAATGTTCAATAACTTTTTTGAAAAAGTCAGTCATTTTTCGGTCCAAGTCTTTGAGGTATATGCCTGTACAAAAACAAACCTTGACTGTAAATATTCTTTAGTTCTTTAGTCCAAAGTGTACTTTTTACAGTTGTTTCCGAACAGTTGTGATATCATGTGATGAGCATCCGCCTATCGGTTAGTTTGTGTGCAGAAAACTTTCCCTAAGACAAGGGCAGCAGTTGTGCAAGTCTTTAAAACACATTAATAAACATATTTAGCTTACTCTCCCGTATGTGACACACCACCCAGAGAAGAGCTGGACTATGCGCTCTCCATACTAATGCAATCTGCAGATCACTTCATCTACACGACAAACTCTTGATCCTGACCAAACCCACGCGCTCATGCCACCGAGCAAAGTATCGTTTCATGAATACAGATGTGTCGCGCAGGCCGATTGCACTTACTGTACAGTTCGAGAAGCTGAGTTTTGTTCCAAACTTCAGTTTTGTCCGACACTTCCGCAGCAGCACAAGCTAAATTACTGACATAACACAACATATAAAGGACATAAAGCGCTTCATGGAAGCGAATACGATGAGTTTGAGTGTATCCTCGCATTTTCACTGGAGATGAGCGCGCCGCATAGACTGCAGCCTGTTTTTCTCCACACTTTCCGCAAGTTTTTGGGATTCTCTACGTCACCGGTCTCAGGGCAGTAAAGGGCAAAATATTCCTCTCCTCTTACAGCCCGTCTGCTCTGAACGCGACGCGACGCGACCAAATTCGAACGCTTGCAGTCAGATGCGTTCTAGATTCCCGGTGACTCGCGTCGCTTGCTTAATATTTAGCAAGAAAGTAGCCAAAGTATGGCAATACTAGGGTGACCATGTTTTAGTTCTCCAAAAAGAGGACAGTAGGGGGCGGGGTTCACCTAACAGTATACGTAGCAAGTTTTTGTTGTTGTTGTTGTTGCTTATTTTGTTTTTATAATAAATAAAAAGAAAACAAGTAGAAAGAATAGAAAAAGAATAGGGAATCCTGGGTCATTTTTAAATAAAAACAAAACAAGTCAATAGAACAGAAAAAGACTAGATAATGCTAATGTTAGAAGGTCATTATTTATAATAAATAAAAAGGAAATAAGTAGAAAGAATAGAGAATGCTGATGTTAGAGGCTCTTTTTTCTTTATAAAAAAAACCAAGTAGGCTAGTTAGAATAGAAATAGAATAGAGTGCAAATGTTAGAGGGTCAAGTTTTTTAATAAAACAAAAACAAGAAGATAAATGATCATTAGCATTATAATAGAGAGTGCTAGAGTTAGAGAGTCAAATGAAGATGAAAGAGATGTGTTTTCAGCTGTTTCTTGAAAATATTAAGGACTCAGGGGTCATTTTTAAATGAAAACAAAACAAGTCAATAGAACAGAAAAAGACTAGATAATGCTAATGTTAGAAGGTCATTATTTATAATAAATAAAAAGGAAATAAGTAGAAAGAATAGAGAATGCTGATGTTAGAGGCTCTTTTTTCTTTATAAAAAAAACCAAGTAGGCTAGTTAGAATAGAAATAGAATAGAGAGTGCAAATGTTAGATTTTAATTAAAAAAAAACCAAGCAGATAAAATTAGAAGTAGCATTAGAATAGAGCATGCTAGAGTTAGAGGGTCAAATTAAGATGAAGGAGATGTGTTTTCAGCCGTTTCTAGGACGCAGCTGCTTGGATTGAGTTGGGCTAGTCATTCCACCAGGAGGGAACAGTTAATGTAGAAGTCCGTGAAAGTTTGATCATAGGTAGAATGCAAAATGTTTCAATACGAGCATTTCGGTCAAATGCAATTTATGCAATATTTTAAACCTTTAACCCACTTGGGAAAATCAACTCATGGCAACGGTTTAAAAAATGCGGACTTGGCAACCCTGTATCCAACAAGAGCTGCAGGAGTCGGATTTGACTGATCACAGGTCGAGAATAAGGAGCGATGACTGACCATGCTGGAGTATTTGCTGCTCAACAGATCCTGAGCTCATTGACAAATATCTGATCTTGTAAAATGTGCTCCCTTTACACAGAGTGCGTGTGATCGCGAAATCGAAAGTGAAAGTAAACAGCGCAAACGCTCATTCAAAAATATTTAAATACACCGCATTCTGAGAGAGGCTCCCTGATGCCCAAAATTATATACAATATTAGAATGTTTAAAGGAGAGGGCACGAAAATCACGGGAGCGAAACACATGCTGCAGTCAGAAATTCAGCTGGAGCGGGATTAAGAAAACCCGGCCGGTGTTGTGCTGAATTCTGCACCTCTGCCAGATTATGCACCCCCTCATGCTACCTGGGGGAATCCCAACCCCTCCCCCACACCTACTCCTAAACCTGCCAATACTAGGGGGTGCATAAACTGGCAGGGTGCAAATTTCGGCACTACACCGCACGCATTTTTGTAGGTCCAAAAAGAGGACATGTCCGGGGAAAAGAGGACCTATGGTCACCCTAGGCAATAAGTATGTTAAATGTTACATTAAAAATACAGATCATGTTTTTAACTCACTGCACTGCAAAATGCAACACAGAAGCTGCAGTGCTTTATATTCCACGAAAAGATTCATTTACACTGCACGAAGCGTCATACATGTATTTACACAGGAATTACAGTTGCAGAAAAAGTCTCATGAAATGACTATTTTAAATACGAAATTATTAACACTGCCTTACCTTGACTGTGTAAAGATGTATTTAACGAAATAATGTGATAACCTTTTTTATGGAAAACCACCAAATATATTACAAAAAAAGAAGTAGATTGACATTTATTTTTTTTTTTTTTACATTTGATCCAGCAAAATCATAATATCTAATTACAAAAGGCTCAGCCTCAACTAACCAATCCCAAACATATGTCACAAATAACTACAGAAAAAGCATTTTGCTTAACAACAAGAAACGCTACATGTAAAACAAGAAGATCCAGTGTTGCCCAGATTTAACAGTACCTTTAGCACTTTTAGCAGCACAACACA